AGAGAAGATCGAAAAAGAGACTTTGTAACCGAAGAAATCAGACTGAAAATACCAAGTTTCTCACGAATGAAAAAGGAACCGTCACGTGAGAATCCAAAGTAAACTTTTAAAGTCCAAATAGCATGTCAGAAGCATGAATACTCTTCGCAAACATAGAATAATCCTTTCGGGAAAATTGTTCTTGAGACTATTGATCCTACTCAAGGTTTTTCATGGGCATGGGAAGGGTTGCAACTCTTTATAGGCTATAGGCTAGGATAAGGTGATAAAATTAAAAAAAAATTAACTCAGACTCGTAACAAAGTTCAACTTATCCTGGAAAAAGATGGTAATTTTAAAACAAATGGATCATCTTCAAGAAGTTTTCAAAACCTACAAGTCAAGTTCCCAAACCATGTTTGTGAGTTGCTGCAATGTACAAATCTTGCATCCGACCGTAAAGGGGCACAAAATTTGCCCACTGAGCCATCTCAACTTAAATTACATAGTTTGCTTATGACTTACTCCTAGTATGATATTTCCATTTAGGCTTGTGTGGCTTGCAAAGGTTACATGTTTTGTCTTTCGGTTTAAAATAAAATAAAATTTTTAAATGGAGTTTATCTAGAAATTTTAATGGAAGAGCTAAATAGGTCTATGTGCCATATGCTGTCCTATCAAGTCCTGAGGCGCAAACTGAAGCAAGACACTATGTTAGATGGGTGATAAATTAGAAAAAAATTATATTCATGATCCTAACAAAGATTTTTTTTTCCGATCTGGGAAGGAATGGTGATTTCTGGACAATTAGATTAATTTAAAGAAATTGGTCAAGATAAGTGATGCAATGCTGGAATTTACCGGTCTACTATGTTTACCGAATTTTTAGGTCAAGATCTAAAGGTTCAAAAAAAATTAGAAAATTAAATCAGAGAGAATGATGGGTAAGGTTTTGAGCTACTCTGAAGGAACCAAGATTCTATCCCTTCTAGATTGGGCTACACAAATTCGACAACGAGTTTACTTATTGTTTTCAGGTTGGGACTAAGCAGTGTTTTATGAATTTTTAGACCATGATGCGAAGACAAAAAATTTAGCCTAAATTCATGGAGTCTACTGGGTATGTCTGCAAGCTACTGTTAAAAGATAGCATGACTATCTTTTATAGTTTGGACTACATAAAAAGATGAACACCGCTGTCTACAGATTTCAGAACACGGTTATGCACACTAATTGAGACCGAACTCTACAACTCAATTATAAGAACAAAATAAATCAGTTAGGCCTTAATGCAAAAGAACATTTTGTTTTTATAAACCAGAAAACAAAGTTCAAAAAAACCTAAGGAATACGAACCGTGACAACCGAAAAAAACTAGAAACTCCAAAAAGGATATGTGTCCTACGGAATATGAACCGTGACAACCGAATAAAATTGGAAACTCAAAAAGGATATGTGTGGAATCAATGCAAGAAGAACGCTACCAAATCAAGGAATCCAACTAAAAGTATAAAATTTAAACTTATGGACGAAAAATAAAGCGTCAACGGAGAAGCCAATAAATCTTTCGAAACAAGCAAACTACGGTTTCATAAAATCAAAAGGATGCAACCAAATGTAGACCTCTAGCCCGCAACCAACATATTTTTTGGATAAACAGGGAGACGTAACTCTACAACTTAGTTATAAGTCGAAAATGAAACTGGTAGAGCACAAAAAAAAAACCCAAGATTTAAATGCAAGCAAATATTTTCTTTTCACAAACTAGTAAGTTCAAACAAAATTTAGGAAATCTGATATTTCAAAACTAAATTAAAGATTTAATGTCCAAAGAGAACATAAAAAGCATTAATACAAGAGAAAGTTCGAAAATAAAGAAATCCAACTAAAAGCGTTCAGTTCAAATGAAAGGACGGAACATTGAAACGTGAAAACGATCAATACAAGGAAATTGCGATTTTCAAAAAAGCTTCAAGGTGCAACAAAATGCATGGGTCCACTTTACAACTAAGTTATTTGTTCTCAATAAACAGGAAGACGGACCTCTACAACTCAATTAATAAGTTCAAAATCAACGTTAGAGCAAAATAAAACGGTCAGGCTTCAATACAAAAGAATATTTGGTTTTTATAAACAAAAAACAAAGTTCAAACAAACATAAGGAAGACGAACCATGACAACAAAAAGAATTGGTAACCCCAAAAAGGATATTTGAAGAAATCAATAAGATGCAACCAAATGTAAACGACGATATTCATAAAAGCTTCAAGGTGCAGAAAAATGCATCGATCCAACTCACAACAAAGTTATTTGTTTTCAATAAAGAGGGAGACTCAACTATACAACTCAATTATAACTTCAAAATTAACGTCTGAGCAAAATTAAACAGTTAGGCCTCAATGCAAAACGAATATTTTGTTTTATTAAACCAGAAAACAAAGTTCAAAAAAAATTTGGGTACACGAACCGCGACAACCATAAAAAATTGGAAACTCCAACAAGGATATTTGAAGAATCAATGCAAGAAGAACGTTACAAAATCAAGAAATCCAACTAAAAGTACAAAATTTAAACTTATGGATGAAAATAACGCGTCAACGGAGAATCCAATAAATCGTTCGGTACAAGCAAACTACGGTTTTCATAAAATCAAAAGGATACAACCAAATGTAGACAACTTGCCCGCAACCAAGATATTTTTTCGATAAACAGGGAAACGTAACTCTAGAACTTTGTTATAAGTCAAAACTTATACTGGTAGAGCACAAAAAAAGCCCAAGATTTAAATGCAAGCAAATATTTTCTTTTCACAAACTAGCAAGTTCAAATAAAAATTTAGGAAATCTGATATTTCAAAACTAAATTAAAGATTTAGTGTCCAAAGAGAACATCAAAAGCATCAATACGAGAGAAAGTTCGAAAATAAAGAAACCAACTAAAAGCGTTCAGTTCGAATGAAAGGACGGAACATTGAAACGTGAAAACGATCAATACAAGGAAATCGCGATTTTCAAAAAAGCTTTAAGGTGCAACAAAATGCATGGGTCCACTTTACAACAAAGTTATTTGTTTTCAATAAACAGGAATACGAACCTCTACAACTCAATTAATTAGTTCAAAATCAACGTTAGAGCAAAATAAAACGGTCGGCCTTCAATGAAAAGAATATTTTGTTTTTATAAACCAAAAAACAAAGTTCAAACAAACATAAGGAAGACGAACCGTGACAACAAAAAGAATTGGTAACCCCAAAAAGGATATTTGAAGAATCGATGCAAGAAGAACGTTACAAAATCAAGGAATCCAACTAAAAGTGCAAAATTTAAACTTATGGATGAAAAATAAAGCGTCAACGGAGAATCCATTAAATCGTTCGGCACAAGCAAACTACGGTTCTCATAAAACCAAAAGGATGCGACCAAATGTAGTTGTTTCACTCGCAACCAAGATATTTTTTCGATAAACAGGGAAACGTAACTCTAGAACTTAGTTACAAGTCTACGATTAAAACGTCAGAGCACAAAAATACCGCAAGGTTTAAATGCAAGCAATCTTTTCACAAACTAGTAAGCATAAGTACATATAAAATTTAGGAAATTGAGATTTCAGAACTAAAATAAAGTTTTAAAGTCCAAAGAGAAGTTCCAAAAAGATAGTACCAAGTGGAAATTCAAGGGTGAAAAAACTACCGCCACTCGAGAAACCAAAATAAATTAAGTCCAAATAGCATGTAAAAAGCATGAATAAAGAGTAACATTCTAAAATAAAGAAATCCAGCTGAAACCATAATGTTTAAACAAAAGGACGGAAAGAGAAGCGTCAAGCGAAAAACATAGAAACGTTTGTCACATGGAAACTGCGATTTTCATAAAAGCTTCAAGGTGCAAAAAAAAAAAGCATCAATCGAGCTCACAACAAAGTTATATGTTTTCAATAAAGAGGGAGACCCAACTATATAACTCAATTATAACTTCAAAATTAACGTCAAAGCAAAATTAAACGATTAGGCCTCAATGCAAAATGAATATTTTTTTATTAAACCAGAAAATAAAGTTCAAACAAACTTTAGAAAGACGAACCGCGACAACCAAAAAAAATTGGAAGCTCCAACACGGATAAACCAATAAAACGTTTATCACGGAAGCTCTAAAAAGGATATTTGAAGAATCGATGCAAGAAGAACGTTACAAAATCTAGAAATCCAACTAAAAGTATAAAATTTAAACTTGTGGATGAAAAATAAAGCGTCAACGGAGAATCCAATAAATCGTTCGGTACAAGCAAACTAAGGTTTTCATAAAATCAAAAGGATGCAACCAAATGTAGATAACTTGCCCGCAACCAAAATATTTTTTCGATAAATAGGGAAACGTAACTCTAGAACTTTGTTATAAGTCTAAATGTCAGAGCACAAAAAAGCCGCAAGGTTTAAATGCAAGCAACTATTTTCTTTTCACAAATAGTAACCAAAAGTTTATACAAAATTTAGGTAATGGAGATTTCAAAACTAAAATAAAGCTTTGAAGTCCAAAGAGAAGTTGGGAAAAGATAAAACTTTATGATTGAAGAAATCCAACTAAAAGTACCAAGTTGAAACTCAATTATGAAAATACAACCGTCACGCGAGAAACAAAAGTAAAGTTTTTATATACCAGATATCAAAGTTCAAACCAACTTAAGGAAGACGAACGGTGATAACCGAAAAATATGGAAACTCCAAAAAGGATATTTGAAGAATCGATGCAAGAAGAACGTTTGAAAGTAAAGGAATCCAACTAAAAGTAAAAAAACATAAACTTATTGATGAAAAATGAAGCGTCAACGGAAAAACCAATAAAACGTTCTGGACAAGCAAACTACGATTTTACGATTTTCATGAAAGTGTACTGTTCCTTAAAATAGAATATAAAGAAATGGATTTCTATAGGATATACATGCACAGCAATCAAACTGAAAATAAATAAGCCAGTAATTTACATAATTTACATATATTGAATTAGTGAAGTGAGCATTGGATGTACCTGCACTGTCTCAAGATATCTACAAAGTAGGCATCTCTAGTACACAGTCTCATCTCGCCACTGCAAAGAAATAAAGTTAAATAAATGAACAGACAAAGGTGAAAGGAAAAAAATAGTTAAACGAAGTCCAATCTCAAAATACTCTCCTCAACCCCTAAACTTCACAAAAGAACAAGAAATCCTGAAACCATCACAGTTTCTGCAAACTGGAAAAGCAGGCCGTTGTATGATCTTCTCATATTGTGTTTTATTTCCTATGACCAACATAGTGTCGCATGCCAAAACTTGTTTCTCACCTCCCATGACCTGATGTCACCAATGCAGTGCACCTCGATGACGAAGAAGATAGATGACAGTACAGTCCGCCTGCTGGTTGCACTCAAGCTCTCACATGGAAGGCTCTGCCTCTATATGATCAGATCAATACCTCTGCTTCTGCCCCTTGTCCAATCTGGGAATTTGTGTAGAAGAATTCAGCCCCCCTCTGAGTGCAACAATTTTTGCCTGGCTTATCTTCAAAAATCGACTACCAACAATGACAAATTTGCTCATGAAGAACATTGTGCATACGGAATCTGCTTGCATCAAGACGAAGATGGCAATCACTTATTCTTCAACTGCTCCTTTGCTGAAGTTTTCAGCGAAAGATGTTTGCCTAGAAGGCACAGAAAAGAAAAGAGAAACTTTATGATAAATATAGTAGAAATGTGAAATAAAAAATAACTCTTTGTGGGTAATCCAAAAAAAAAACACTTTGGTGAAATCAAAAAACGATAATATATAACACATTCTGATCTTTTTACACGTCAAGTGTTATTCGGACCATTTCATGAGATAAACCAGTAGCTCCTAAAAACATATGAACAATTATATTTAGATGAATAAAAGCATTCGTGGATACTTTCTGAACGCTAGCAATATACATCTAGCAGGCTAGAATAAATATATGCATACACCGAGTAAAAGAGATTAGTGTAAATTGAGATAAGCATCTTTCATAAACGAAACAGAGCAGAGCATAATCCATGTGAAAAACTGAAAACCATTCAAAAAATGGAACAAAATGATAACTATTAAGCCTTTTTCTTTGCACGGATTCAGCACGAAATGCAGCACAAAAATTGCACATAATGGCACAAGAGGGAGAGGACACCGGGAGTGCATTCGGCAAACCTGCACAGGGTCGCTTTCAAGGACGACGTCGAGGAAGCCGGTGGATGATCGCAAGGTGAACCGGTTTGACATTCACAACGGTGACGCACCGTGCGCTGGATCTGCACATGACGGAGTTGAGGAGGAAGATCCGATGACGAAGTGCACCAGGTGACAGACCTCCACCTTTGGGGCCGGGTGGAACAGATCGGCGAGGCGGCCACAGGTTGAAAATTATAGTCAGTACAGGTTGTGGTCATGTATTTACTGAGAAACCTAAATAATATACATGTTACAAGCATTTCTCCGGGTGGAACAGATCTGCGAGGCGGCCACAGGTTGAAAAATATAGTCAGTACAGGTTGTGGTCAGGTATTTACTGAGAATCCTAAATATTATACATGTTGTTACAAGCATTTCTCTTAGCAATCAGTATACCAGCTGTAGTTCACATCCTTGTTCATTTCATTGTATCAAACAAATTCTGCAGGTGCGATAACGAGATGAACTATCCACTAATGTAAATAATCTATATTATAATGTAATCATCCATCAATTTGCCAATGATGCTGGTAACAAGTAAAAGATTTATTGATGCAGCCAAAATTAAACTGTGTAAATTTGGCTAGCATCAAATAGAACATAAAAAAAATTTTATCAAAGATTTATTTATGGAATTAATTAATTATGAACATAAAAAACAAGTTAGCATGAAATAGAACACCAACAATTTTGGAATGACTAATTTGAAGAGGAAATACCCCTCTTTACTCTGAAGTAGAATATGGTTTTCTATTTCACAGTAAACTTGGCAATAATATATACATGGATAGAAATATTATGAATCAACAGTGATATAAAGCCCACTCCCTATCCTTCGTATCATGTGCAATTAAGAATGTGGTATCACATTATGACAATAACCCAGTGATTGCAATTTCGGTTCAAAATTTCAGAAATTTCTGAATGCTCAGTTCGAAATTTCGGCAGATTTTCTCAATTCTTTGTTGAAATTTCTCAAAGTTTATTCAAATTCTAAAAAAAATCAGTCCAAAAAGTTCTGAAAATCAAAAAAATTCATAAATTTTGGTCCTACCAAAATTCGCACCAAGATAAAAAGTGCAAACCCTGCAATAACTTAATTTGTATTTCACATTATGAATAGCAGAGCACATATACGACATCGTCAAAATAATAGCCAGCACTGGTATATGGATAATGGTCAGAATTATTGCAGGACATTAAGAACTCCATCTTCTATATGTGCGCTTGAAATGAAAAACCTTCGACATGAAAAAATAGTTAACCTTTAACCTAGTACAGATCAATTACCAAAATATTTGATTTTTACTATCTAGACAGACTCAAGTTCCTCAAAAAGCTAAGATGATGTGCTGCTTGGTTGCTGACTCAGTGACTCTAGTAGTCTAGTTTCATACAACAGTAGCAGAGCTCATAAAAAACAACACAGTAAAACAATATGCCAAGACACTAAAATGGATTGGAAAACAAGAAGATGTAGAGGAGGGGCTGCAAGAAGTTACCAATGAAACTGATCTTGCTAATCTGGCAATCCCCAAGCAGACCTGCTTTGTGGCTGACCATGTCGTTAATTCACATTCACTGCCTTGCAAAGCGTGGGCACCACTATGGCTGCAACAGTCATGGTCGTCCCTTGGGAGCAGGGACAGCTGGGCCCTGCCGACGGCGCCGGCACCCCTTGCAGCGGCCAAGCCTGCAGTACCAGCCGATGCCCTCGCCAGCACAGGAAGACCATGCGAGCAGCCCATATTCGTGGAGTTGAACGGTACAAAAGCTCCCTGCAGTCCTGAACCTAGGGACGAACATGGAGTTGAGCAAGCTGACTAATTATGTTTCAATTAAGCCCGAGCAAAACTATAAAACAAAACCACACTGCAATATGAGAAAAAACTACAGAGTTAAGCGTAGAAGTATCAAGCGGCGTGCCTATGTTATGTTTCCAGGGATCCTTTGGGACCCTGGCTAAATTATTAAATTCTAGCTAAAGTACGCCATGTTAACTACTATACCGGTAAATAGTTACATAATTCGTATGTATTGGACTCTTGGTATTTTTTGTTCTGAGTTCATCACTGAAAATATCTATTAGCACAATGCGAGCACGTGGAAACTGTCGGCACTACATGACGACCAACATTCATGGTACTAAGTGAAAGCATCATAATACGGAGGAGAAGATCAGAAGAGGCACCTTTGGTCTCCCAACAATATTATGAAGTTTCTTTCTCTTGGCCATCTCTTCATAGTACTTCAGTTTAAGATCTTCACACTGCACAACTGCAGCAAAAAAAACAAAATTTTTACAAACTTTTTCATCAAATACTCTAAAACCTTTACAATAATGCAACTGATGGATATTACCTAATGCTTGAACAGCCCCTACCATCTTACTCAGTTCAGGAACAGCGTTTGCATGGCCATGTGCTTCAAGAGATAGCATTGTTTGCTCTTGTTTCATGACCTGAAAATTACAAAGTGATATAATCAGTAAAACATAGCACCTAATGTATTTATCAATTCAGTAAATCTGCTTTTACCTTGATTTTATTTTCCAAGTTAGATATGGCAGCTGCCCATAATTTATTGGCATTATCATACTTTTGGGAAACACTTCTCAGTTGATCAGCTTGTCTATCAAGGACTTGTTCTGTCAGGAACGTAAAACAGTGGTGAGCATACAGAAACATCTTATCTGAAAATTAGACCTTGAAGGAGTAAGTTGAATCTAATATATTGTGTCTTACCTGCTATTGCTACCGTTTTCGAATACAAATGGCACAAACCATGGGACTTCCCCTTACTCCTTTGAAGTTTATGACAAAGGTGCCGTTACTCTCAACTGTCACCCTAATATCACGCATATGAAGGGGTCTGTTACCAGTCCAACCACTGCATACACATCAAATTCAGACAAAATCTGTGCATCAATCAAAAGTCAAATTGTTTAGCTAAACCTGAAAATAAATTGTGATACAAAATTAAGAGTCTCATGAATACTGTGTTTGCATTTTCTTCTTGCACAAGGACATCAAATGCTCTAATTCCTTTTGGCCCGTAAGTGTTCACTATCTCAGCAAATGCAGATCAAAGAAAGTCTCCAGGAGCAAGACCATCGATTTTCTAGCTGGAATTTCCATATCGAACTGAGTGGTAAAGCAAAGGATAGTCACCACTTCAAACTATATCCTCAGATGTCAATATTGCATCCCCTCCTTCGAAGAAAGATTCGTCAGAAAGCTTTGAAGAGGGTTCACAACCCTCAATTGCACAGCCACCGGCATTAATGAACAGAACAAAGTCTCATCACAGGCACAAGAAGGATAATAAGAAACACTGTGGAACTATGATGGCATGACCAATTAACATTTCGATAAGGTACTTCCAATTTTCAATTTAGAATTCAAGATTATGAAATATCCATTTTGGAAGCACATGACTGATGATGGCTATCGAAGCCCCTTCTACTCGATATTAGTACAGCACCACAATTGATGCAACCTTGTACTCTGACATAGAAACAATCCTATTTTCTTCAACCAATCCAATGCCCATGACTTTAGTACTATCTGATGTATTATTCATTCACTTTGAGAGCATCAAATGAGGCCAGCACACTGATCCACTTAAAAATAGTAGCTAACATGGCAGAGAATCAAGTCAATGAAGAACCCACAATTTTAAGAAGAGAAACATTACTCTATCAAATATTCAAATCTACTCCAAAGAACCTAAATCGACCCATAAAAGCTAGAGCAGTATGCAAATGATTCCACATATACATGATTCCTGTTACATGGAGATACCTTATTAAGCTCCTAGCATACCACAACACCTGAAGGCCTCAAAATTGGGATTAAAACTTTGGTACCGATGTAGGTAAAGCACCAGAAAATACCAAATCTGGGTACATCCAACCTCCTAAATTTCCTCTGCCACATGCGCACACGCACGCACACAAGAAAAAATAAGAGCAAATTTGGAAGCAAACTTTCTAGGGTTTTCTACCAGAGCCAAATCAAGTACTCCAATTCGACCATCCTAAACGCTCATTTCCCAAAAACCCTTTCACGAACATGGTGGGAGGGTTAGGATTTAGGAATAGATCCTCACCTAGCTGCTAGAACCACCATTGCTGATCAAATGCATATAGATTTGCAGGAATCCCACCGCGGGAAGAGGGAGAGAGGAGGGGAGGACTCCGCCGCCGCCGCCGCCGCCGCCGCCGCGGCGGCGCCGGCGCAGGGCCAGGTGGTGGCCGCCTCCGCTTCGCTAGGATTCGCGGCGCGAGGAGGAGAGGAGAGTGAGAGAGAGGAAAAGGTTTTTTCTTTCTTTTTTTTGACGGGAGAAAATATTACCGTTTTTTTTTTTTGACGGGAGAAAATATGACCGTTGCTTTGAGAGGAGAGTGAGAGAGAGGAAAAGGTTTTTTCTTTCTTTTTTTTGACCGGAGAAAATATGACCGTTTTTTTTACGGGAGAAAATATGACCGTTGCTTTGAGAGGAGAGTGAGAGAGAAGGAAAGGTTTTTTCTTTCTTTTTTTATGAGGACTAGAAAGAAAATATGACCGTTGCTTTAAGAGGAGATTGAGAGAGAGGAAAAGGTTTTTTTCTTTTTTTATGTGGACTAGAAAATATATGACCGTTGCTTTAATAGGACTAGAAAATATGCCCGTTGCAACGGATTCATTAGAAACTAAATATTTATCTGCTTAAGAAATCTAGGATGTTTTTTCCGGTTGTTCCTCATATGGTCCTTTGTTGGTCATATCTGTGCGATGAGTGTAGAGAGACCGGGTAGTACAGACCGACAGAGCCTGCAACTGGACCATTCCGAAATTCTCAACTTGAGCATGAAGGTGAAAGAACTTTAATTTGTCAGCAAATTGGACCCTAATCCATTCAAATAAAATCATTAGATAGATCCACGGGATTTCACCATAAAGAAATAGATAAATGGAAGCTAAAATTGTGCAGGAGTGCGAGTGACAAGAGTGTACGACAACTTATGTCGAGACAGCTTCGGCCAAGTAGAACTTGTCCGCCACTGCAACTGCAGATTACAGTCTTTCACTTGGTTACCCTTCTCACACACCATCGCTATCGCAGGCCCCATGGCAGTCGTGCTAGCAGCGCCATCACCAGCGAGGTGCACCGCACGGATCTCCTAGGCCACTCGACGTGGGTGATGTAAGCAGATATGCGGGGGAGTTGATTGAGCAGGGCTACGGTTTGCGAGGGACTTGACTGGTGTTTGATACTAATGAAAATGAATATTAAGTAAGGGCATAAAAACAAAAAACTAGTAGCATATGATTAATTGAGTTTTAATTATTGCAAATTTGAAAAATGAATTTATTTGATATTTTATAGCAACTTCTATATAAAAAGTTCACACGAAACATGCCATTTAGTAGTTTGAAATGTGTGCTAACAGAAACCAAGGTGAAATTTGCGTCTAAATGAAAAAAGAACCGGTTGTCGCTGTGTCAGTGTGTTATCCTGATATATATTGTCGTGGATTAATCGAGTATTCAATCAAGTTTCATATGTATTTTGTTACCGTCACTACAATAGAAACCATCTTTCTTAGCAACACCCTTTTATTCGTACTTGTCAGGGCTATGGATACCACATACCTAATAATAGTCGACTACATCTCGGCAGGACCCACCACATACCATGTTATATATGGAAACTGACCTCGGATATGGAGGGAGATCCGAATAAGGAAAGACAACCAGAGTTCTACATGGAAACGACAATGACTACTCAGATTGTATCCATATTGGTTTCCCTAGTTCTACTTGGAAAGAGGACACCTATGGGTATAAATAGAAGGCCCCCTAGGAGAAGAGGACACCCAATACAGAAGACACGGGACAACAGAAGCCACAACATACAAGCCAACATACGCTAAGATAAGACGTCAAATATCGACTTCAGAGATATGCATGACTAGTCCCATATGGTGCCTATGGCTACCGTCAGGAGAGATATAGCGCTGTATCTGATCTCGCCAGATGCGGATTCGAGGAAGAAGGCTACCATGTTGTCGACTACGTGTCAGACCTTCAGACCGCTATGTCGACAACAATTAGATAGGCTACCCCAAATATTGTACTGGTGTGATTATGGTGAATAAGATGTAACGCCCTGAAAATCGCCCTAAATTTAAATCGTGCTTTAATGTATTTCTAGAAATTTTAAAAGCCTAAAAGAGCCTCCAACAATTAAAATTCACCAAAGATTTATATCAAATTGGCTTGTGAGTATTTTTAATAAATTCCCCATGCTTAAAAATGTTTAACCAATTTTCACTTGAATTTTCAGAGCATTCTAAATAATTATAAGGCAACAAAACAATTAAAGAATTTTATAAAAAGGAAAAGCTAAAAGAAATCCTCTTCCTCCTCTTGGGCCACTTCTAGCCCATCTCTCCCCCTCCTTCCCTCAGCCCAGCCCGGCCACCCCTCCCTCTCTCCTCTCCCCCTCCCTCTCCTTGGGCTGAACCAACTGCTCCCCCCCTCCCTCGGACAAAAGTCTGCTTCACTTCCCCTGCGCGCCCAGCCTGAGACAGGCGTGCTCCTACTCGATGACAGGTGGGTCCCACTCGTCATCGCTAACCTCCAGCCATCCCCTCTCTCTCCGGCCGAATTCCAAGCGACGGCAACCTCCGATTCACCTCCTCCACTCGCCGTTTCATCAAATTAATTGAGGGAAATTAATTCCCACCTCATCCTCTCCAATTCCCCCATAATTTCCCACTCAATCCCGCATTATTCGTGGTGGATTTTGATGATGTTCTTTAATGGCGAGCTCCACCATGGCCGGCGTCGATCTCCCTCCCCGGCGTCTCTCTCCCTCCCCTCCGGCCTATAAAAGGGACCCCCGACTCCCTCCTCTCTCCCCTCACACCGCCGCCCTCTCCCTCCTCTCTCCGCGGCCGCCGCGCCGCTCTCTTCTTGTGTCGCCGCCGTCGCAACTCCGGCCGCCCCTCGCCGGTGGTCGAGACTCATCGGAGCCCGGCGTCGCCACCATCCGCTTCGTCGCTTCCTCCTCTTCCCCGTCCACCCCTCCGTCGAGTACAAGGACCGCGGGAACGACGCCGACGCCGACGACCCGAAGCTTCTCGCCGTTTCTTCCTCACCGCCGGCAACACCGTCGACCTCTCGCCGCCGTGTCTGCTCGGTGAGAACCGTCGTCTCCTCCCCTTTCCGTTTTTCCCCTTCCCGTACTCCGTCGCACCGTCGCCGCGCCGTTGGCCGTCGCCGGCGTGCCGCCTGGCTCGGGTGCTTCTCCTTCCCGGGCGTGCTTGTGCGCCGTGAGCCGCCCTCATGGTGTACCGAGCGGCTGCCAAGTGGGACCCGCCCATGGACCCCTCTCTCTCTTCTCTGTGCAATAAATCAATTTCCTTTAGAAAAATAATTCATAAAATTGCAAATTTCCATTTAAACAGCACATAAACTTCAAATGGCCATATCTTGACCGTTTGAACTCAGAATCGACCCGTTCAAATCTCTAATTTCTCCTAAAAATGAGTAGAACCCATTTATGTGCTTTATTGCTTCTGTTCATATGGTTTTTATTAGCCTTTTTGTTTTTCTTCGCGTTGGTCGTGTAGATCCCGCCGTTCCGGAAGATCAGCTTTTCATCGCCGTTGACGCCGAAGACTTTGTGAGCGATCAAGGCAAGTCATATCTACCTTGAACATGTTGAATCCCATATTGTGAAAATTATGTTGTTTTACTTATATTGCACTGCTTTATAAATTATACCGTTCATTATTAATATTGTTTTATTAGTTATTCCTATGCTCTTTGTTATGGCCATGTTATTGATTTGATATCCATGATCGTTGTGAAACCTAGTAAAATTATAACTTGACTAGTCTGGTACCCTACATGATGGACTGACTAGTTGCTTTAGGTAAATGCTTAGTCATGCTTAGTTCCAACCTAGAACTTTTGGTTAAACTAGACTTTGGTGGTTAACAACTAAAATTGGATTAGTTATGGACTATTGACTGGTTTGTCAATAGATGGGTGATAAAATGATTTGTGCAACTAAAATATATTTTTGGGCTGGGCTTGGGGTGCAAGCTAGTTACTTTGGTAGTCGCACCCCGGCTAATATAAGGATCGGTCTTCGGGCCTCTGTTGCAAGGCATCTTCGTGCAACCACAAGTCTTGTGGGTAAGGCCTGACTGGAAATTTAGATCTTCTCAAAACAGAGACCATTGGTTGGAAGGGTGTGAGGCCAGGATTAAGGCCGTTTTTAACCCGGCGCAAGGGGGGGCCTGTCTCGTCCTGGGGGATCCGGCAACCTTTACCTTGTCGGGGACCGGCGGGCAGGGAAACCACAGCGGGTTCTCCTGTTTTGGGTAGACCTAGATGGATAGTCTTGTCACGACCTCTATCCGAGTACCGTGGTGGTACCTGGCGCGTGGCAACGCGTGTTGAGGTTGGGTATTGTGGGTAAAGTTGTACACCTCTGATCAGAGTTAGAACTATTCAAATAGCCGCGTCCTCGGTTATGGGCAAGCTAAGCAATGTACCCAAAGTTAGTTTTGTTTTATAAAACCTTGGGAGGGTGAAATCATGATGGTGTAGTCATGTGAAGATTAGCCTGGGTTAAGGCAGGTTCGTAGGCTCATGCGACCTTGATGATATTAAAATATTGGCTTAGAACAGGATCGTGTTTTAAAATGAGCTTTAACTTGATTAAAATGTTTAAATTATGGCTTTATGCAAAATAAACCCTATTAGGCCATTTTCTTGTTTTCCCTACGCATTATTGTTGCATTTCCGGTGTGACTTGCTGAGTACGGTGGTGGTACTCACTCTTGCTCACAAAAATAATCCAGAGGATGGACCTGAGGAAGGTGAAGGCTTTGATCTCTAGTTCGCTCCGCCGTCGAGTGCCTGTGGCTGCTGCTGTTCCGTAGTCTTCCGCTGTTTTATTTGTTTATCTTTGAGTGTGAGGGCCTAAGTCGCCCATGTAATAAAGTACTCCTTTACGTTTCCGCAAGTGTGGCATGTAATAAACAACAATGTCTATGTGTACCTCGCCTCCTGGGACGAGGATTAATGCACTGA